AAAGTTTGAGGAGCCCTGCTCTATGATGAAGAACCATCAGGTCTTCCTTCTTCCGGCATTTTCTGATCTTTTTTCTTTATGACATCGTAAAACACCTCCCCCGCTTTTAGCGGTACCTAATTTTGCATAGCTTAGGTAAAGAATGAGCTAGGCTGACAGTTGGCAGCTCACGCCAACCTGGGGCTTCGAACTTGCAACCTTTTGGTTGATAGATCTTATAATTGCTGATTATTTACCAGCTGTGCTAAACCTCTGGCCCATATGTCTGGGTATGTTCTGTTCCACCGGATTTATATATTTTATACCTGCTGTATATCTTGCAGTTCATCAGTACAGTTGTTATTTTGGCAGACCTTGCTCCTCGTCCTTCAGGTGTGAACTAGGTTTCATTGAGTTTGCAAATGTTTTTGGGGAGGTGGGAGATAAAGTTTTTTCCTCTCATTTCCTGGCATCGACAGCTGTGTATAATCAAGTTATTTATGGGCACAGAAGATATCCATCTTCTATATCGGAACAGCTTTCTGATTGCCACTCCTCCCTCCTCCTTAAAACAAATTATTCCTCTTGCAGAGAAGCAGGTGGGCCTGGTACTTGAAATAAAAATACTTTTTTACGAACCGGGGAAGATGGCTTGGAGTTGTTTTGGGGGGAGGGTGTTATTTTCCCCTCTAGATAATTATCCCCTGACTTTCAGCCTGGTGCGTCTCTTGAAGTGTTTTGATTTCTCTGCATTTAGCTCAGCGATGGTTGCTAATTAGGGAGATGAGCCTGGCTGAGCTCACTGGGATGAGAGATGGCAATTTGGAAAAGGAAGGCAGGACCCCCCCCCCCCTCCCCACACACACACACACTTTCCATGGGTCCTATCAACTGAAGCTAGATCAGGCATGGGCACACTTCAACCCTCCTCCAGCTGTTTTGGGCTTCAACTCCCACAATTCCTAACAGCCTACTGGCTGTTAGGAATTGTGGGAGTTGAAGTCCAAAACAGCTGAAGGAGGGTCAAAGTGTGCCCATGCCTATCCTTGAGGCTGTCAGAACCAAGACCGGCCTCTAATTCTGTGCCCAGCTCTGCTCTCCTTTCTCCTCCAGACCTCCGGTCGCAGGGCACAAAGGCCCAGCAGTGGTGACCAGGCTGAGGCCGGACCCCTCTCCTGGGAGGTGGTCCCAGCCCTCCAGAAGCTCCCGTCCCCCAAGGAGCTCTTCTGGAAGAAGAAAGGGGGGCGGAAGCGGAAGAGCTTGGAGAATGCCCGGGCCCTGTCGGTGTTTTGCCACCTGGAGGAGCTGAAGAGGAGGCAGAGCAGCATCGATGAGTAGGTATCTTTTGACATTCCTGGTTGACTTGTGTGTGTATGCAAACACACACACACATTGTAGACATGCTATCATGAATACTTGTTGAAACTTACAAAAAGTTATTTAATTTGTTTTAAGTGAGACAGATTGCTATCAGGCACTTTCAGAGAAAGAAGTAGACACACAGACCCAGTATTGGTTATGTTGATTACACAAAGGGAACATTCACATTTACTCAGCACTCACTCCACATCCATACATTCACACCCATACTCACCACCTTCTTCATTCAGGCCATTTTGGAAGGAGGCGGGTGTCCAGGCTCTGCATTCCCCACAGATCTGCCACACTTTGGAAGAGAAAAGGTGTCTATTTATATAGTAATATTTTGGCTATTGTTGTTCTTGATTGTTTGACAACTTGTTTTCCAGCTAAGGCTCCTTCTACACTGTCCTTATATCCCAGGATCTGATCCCAGGTTATCTACTTTGAACTGGATTATATTTATTTATTTATTATTTGAACTTATATGCCGCCACTCCCCTGGGGCTCAGAGCGGCTTACAAGAATCTGATGGTAGTGTGGACTCAGGGCCCTTCCATACAACCATATAATCCGGAATATCATGGTAGAAAATCCCGCAATATCTGCTTTGAACTGGGTTATCTGAGTCCCAAAGTGACCAGTGCTTCCTTGCAGATCTGCCACTCTCCGAAGAGTGTCACGATGAAGAGTGTCACGATGCCAGGGCTCTGGCTTATTCAAGTAGAGATGAACCAAACTCCCAGTTTGTGTTAAACAATTTAATTTAAACAGCACTTACTTTCTAGCTGTTTTAATAGTCCAAAACATAAAACACAAAGATAGCACTCAGCCACAGAATATAAAACAAAAAAAAAAAAGCAAACCCTGTTGCAGGTTCAAGATAACTCCATAGTCAAAAAGGTCCAATCCAATGGTCAAATGCCAAGAGTTCAATAAACAAAGTCCAGGGAACAAGAGTCTATACCGTAGTCAAAAGTCAGTTCAAAGATTCAAGGTTCCAGGATTCCAAAAGTTCAGAAGACAGGTCAAGACATTGAAAATCCAAACCTGGGGGAAAAACCAGCAGCATCTACCACCAAGATAAAACAAATACTTTTCTCCCGAAGATCAGTCCCAAGGCTCACTCCTTATATCCAGACACACCCAGCTGCAGCCCATCTCTTGCATGCCTCCATCCTTAATTGCTTTCACCCATGAACTCTTACAGATTACTCAACCCTTTAGAATTAACCCTTCCATCACCAACCACCATCAACTGCAGAACATAATACATGACATAGAGCATGGCAGGTGAACCAGACTCCTCAGGTCTGTCACAATTTGAGCATTATTAGACTGAGTCTTTTATAAGAATGTTCTGCTGATGTTGTCCCAAAGTTGTAAATGAATGATAGACATCTTCCATGCTGGATCCATCTCAGTTTCCTGGCCAGATGTTGATCTTCTTGATTGGTGTTGACAAACAAAAGGCTTGTGTTGACTCCCTTCTTGACATAAAGAATGTTGCAAACATTTTATTAACTTGAGAGAACCATTGTCACAGTTCTTATCAGAGTTTACCTTTCCAGCTGTCATTAGCAACTTTTAATTACAGTCCAGCAAGCAGGTAGTTAGTCATTGCAGGCCTTCATATTTTACTGGTGCCTCCAAAATTATTAACTCCATCCATACATCCTTCCATTCAACTCATTCATACCCACACATCATTAAATTCACATTTATCAAATCTGCACATATGTCATGATGCCAGGGCACTGCCGTTATTCAGGCAGAGGTGAATCAAACAATCACTCAGTTTATATCAAACAGTTTAATTAAAACAACACTTACTTCCTATTGTTTTAATAGTCCAAAATATAAAACATAAAGATAGCACTCAGCCACAGAATATAAAACAAAACTGACAGCAAACACTGTTGCAGGTTCAAGATAACACCGTAGTCAAAGGGTCCAGTCCAGTGGTCAAACGCCAAGAGTTCAATGAGCAAAGCCCAGGAATCAAGAGTCTATACCAGGCATGGGCAAACTACCGGCTGTTAGGAATTGGGGGAGTTGAAGTCCAAAACACCTGGAGGGCCGAAGTTTGCCCATGCCTGGTCTATACCGTAGTCAAAAGCCAGTCCAAAGATTCAGGGTTCCAAGGGTTCAAGAGACAGGTCAGGATACCAAAAATCCACAAGCCTGGGGGAAAACCAGCAGCATCTACCACCAAAATAAGACAAATACTTTTCTCCCCAAAATCAGTCCCAAGGCTCGCTCCTTATATCCGGAAACATGCAGCTGCAGTCTATCTCTTGCATACCTCTACCCTTAATTGCTTTCTCCCATGAACTCTTACTTACAAATTATTCAATCCCTTTAGAACTAAGACTTACATTAACCCTTCCATCACCAACTCCTAGGCCTACCACCACCAACCACCAACCACTGCAGAATATGATACATGACAACATCCAGTTTCTTATTACAGAGCCAGAGCGCTCTAGTACCTCATCAAACTATAAACTCCAAGAATCCATGGCCACTAAATGTGGGATCTTATTGCTGCAAGTGTGTGATGTGGAAGGACCCTAATGATTTTGGATTGTCTGCACATTTCTTCCCTCTTCAAAACCTTTATTCCAATTACATGCTACCTGTTCATGCCCAGCATTTTTTTTTTTAAATTTAATTATTGCATTGGTTTTTAACGGCGTTGTGTTATTGTTATTGTTATTGTTTTTGCTTATTTTGCTATGAGTTTTGTATTGTTTTTGTATTATTGCTGTTATTGTTATTGTTGTGTTTGGGCTCAGCCTCATGTAAGCCGCACCGAGTCCCTCGGGAGATGGTAGCGGGGTACAAATAAAGTATTATTATTATTATTATTATTATTATTATTATTATTATTGGGCATTCTCCAGCATTGAGGACAATGTCTTGAGCAAGGTAGATGGGAGAAATTAGCCACTCTTTTTTGTCTTTAGAGGCTGATAGTGGGGTTGTACTTGTGGGAGGCTGCACAACATGGCAGCACTCATGACACTGAAGATTTGCTTTCATGTTGAGAAATATATGAGCGGGTGCAAATATAGAAAGCGAAATTATCCTCTGGCATAGCACACCAAGCTGACATGATAATGGCTTTTCTGTTTCCTTCATGTGTGGGGTGGTGAGTGGGTGTGTATTGCCATGGAAACTTCCACCAAGGACGGGCAGCCTGTTTATTGTTGTGAAATGCCTCCCAGTTGACTGCTGGTGACCCCCTCCTCGGGCTGGTTCTGCTATTGAGAGGGAGTTTGCTGCCACGGACTTCCCACCCTGGCTACTGAGAGAAGGGCAGGGCTTGCCCAAAATCTCCCGGTGGGTTTGCATGGCAGAGCTGCGCATTCTTACTTCAAGTTGCATGCCCTGGCACTTGTGCACGTAATGACTGCAACAGATGCAGTCGCTGGGCGGAGGGTTTTATCTTCCCAGGAACACAATATTTCCCTCTGAACGCTGGGAATATGTTTTCCTGGACCAGAAGGCCTTCCCTTGAGGAAACGTGCCAACGTCAGCCAAGTAATAACAGCAACCAAGCAGCCATTCTGGTTCAGGAAACACACATACGCACCATCTGGAAAGGCCTTCAATTAGAATTCCTCAAACTTTTTAAACAGAGGGCCAGGTCAAAGTCCCCCAAACTGTTGGAGGGCCAGATTATAATTTGAAAAAAACAAACTATGAATTAATCCCTATGCACACTGCACATATCTTATTTGTAGTGCAAAAAAACACTTTAAAATAATACAATAATTAAAATGAAGAACAACTTTTAGCAAATATAAACTTAAGTAAAGGTAAAGGTAGTCCCCTGACATTAAATCCAGTCATGTCTGACTCTGGGGTGTGGTACTCATCTCCATTTCTAGAAGAGCCAGCGTTGTCCGTAGACACCTCCAAGGTCATGTGGCCAGCATGACTGCATGGAGCGCCGTTACCTTCCCGCCGGAGCGGTACCTATTGATCTACTCACATTTGCATGTTTTCGAACTGCTAGGTTGGCAGAAGCTAGGGCTGACAGCGGAAGCTCATGCCGCTCCCCGGAATCGAACCTGTGACCTTTTGATCAACAAGCTCAGCAGCTCAGTGCTTTAACCTACTGCGCCACTAAACTTATTAGTATTTAAATGGGAAGTGTGGACCTGCTTTTGGCTGATGAGATAGGACTGTTGTTATTGTTATTGTGTGCTTTCAAGTCATTTCAGACTTAGGTTGACCCTGAGCGAGGGCCAGGTAAATGACCTTGGAGAGCCGTATCTGGCCCCCGGGCCTTAGTTTGAGGACCCCTGTCTTAAATGTTAGTTTTAAACTGCCACCCCTGCTTTTCCTTGTTTCAGGCTGAAGAAGGCCACATGGGGAGTGTGTCTGCCCAAGGCCTTGGGTGAAGGGGAAGAGGCGCCCCACCCCCTCGCAAAAGCCGTGCCCCATGAAAGCCCACTCCGACCATTCAGCATGCCAATGTCCACTCACTTCTACGAAGAGCGCTCGTTGGGGGACCGATACTGCCATGCTCAGGTAAATAAGGGCTTCAGGATCCAGGAACACATGGGCTGAGTCCTTCTCTGCCAATGGTCCGCCTCAGAGGGAAGATTGCCTGCCACTTGCCTCCTGTGAGTGAAAGCCTGGTGGGGAGTGCGGGCATCTATATGGCCAAGCAGTCAGGACCAGAAATGGGGGCCCCAGATCTCATGGATCCTCTTATCCTCAGGGTGAGAGCACTGCCTTTTAAAATGTGCAGATATCTTTTCCTCATGCATGGTTCTGTGTTTTGATGGGGAGGGCATCCTCGATGCAGCTGTGGGGAGCTTGATGCTTCGTGCATTAGGCTCAGTGACATCCCCAGAGGTCACCCCAAGGGCCATCTAGTCCAGTGGTACTCAACTGTGGGTCCCCAGGTGTTTTGGCCTACAACTCTCAGAAATTCAAAACGATCTTGACAGATTAGAGAGATGATGGGCCAAAACTTACAAAATGAAGTTCAACAGGGACAAAGGCAAGACACTCCACTTTGGCAGGAAAAACGAAATGCAAAGAGACAGTATGGGGGATGATGAGGCCTGGCTCGAGAGCAGGACGTGTGGAAAAGATCTTGGAGTCCTCATGGACAGCAAGTTAAACATGAGCCAGGAATGTGATGTGGCGGCAAAAAAAGACAATGAGATTTTGGCCTGCATCAATAGGCGCATAGTGTCTAGATCCAATTCAAGGTGCAGGTTCTTACCTACAAAGCCCTCAATGGTTGCGTGACCGCATTTCTGTATACGAACCCACACGATCACTTCGATCATCTGGAGAGCCCCTACTCACGCTCCCACCTGCATCGCAGGCACAATTGGTGGGGACGAGAGAGAGCAAACTATAGGGAGTATACAACGCCTCTTTTAAAACAGTTTCAGTGTCTGCCAATAAGTTGCTGAGCCAAATTCAAGGTGCAGGTTATGACCTATAAAGCCCTAAACGGTTTAGGCCCCGCCTATCTTCGCTATCACATCTCCCTCTATGAACTGGCACAAACTTTAAGATCTTCTGGGGAGGCCCTCCTTTTGCTCCCACCACTGTCACAAGCACGGTTGGTGGGCTGAGAGAGAGGGCCTTCTCGGTGGTGGCCCCTCGCCTCTGGAACGCCCTTCCTGGAGAAATAAGACAGGCCCCATCCCTCCCCTCCTTTCGTAAGAGCCTGAAGACCTGGTGGTTTAAAGAAACCTTTGAGAACGACTAGTTCTAGCTCTGCCCCAGATACTGCTGAAATTGGCCATATCTTCTACCAATTACCCAGGTCCCTTTCTTCTATGAGGCCCTGGAAATGGACAGCCATAGACTCTACCTAATTTTCCGGGTTGTCTAAAATCGCACTAGCTTGGCCTGGCCTTTTAAACTGCCTTGAACAGGCAGGATTATTTTAAATATATGTGCTATTGTGGTTTTTAATGCTTATTTTGTCTTGTTAATTTTATGTTTAAGCTGTTCTCTTTGCATGTATTGATTATGTCACTTGGAAACCGCTCTGAGTCTCCTTGGGGAGATAGAGCGGTATATACGAGGGGAATTTTTAAGTAAGGTCCATTTGAACATAAGTACACAACGAAAGTTTATTTCAAAAAAGTAAATTTATTTTCAGAAAGTTAATACTTCACTCTATTTTTCGACATAGTTGTCAAGTTTGTTCAAACACTTATCATACCTCTGGACCAATTTTAAAATACCCTCTTCATAAAAACTTGCCGCATGCTCCGATAACCAAGAGTTCACTGCCGTTTTCTTTGGTTTTTGTGGTCCTCTGTTAGGAGTTTCGGGACCCAACGGGAGCACTTTCCTAAACTTTAGGTGTTCAGAAACAATGTTGGAAAGCACTGATCTCGACACGTCAGGAAATTGGTTTGAGAGACCTGTTATTGTGAAGCGCCTGTTCTCACGAATCCTCGCTTCAATTGAAGCCACCAAATCGTCTGTAATCAAAGAAGGGCGACCGGAGCAGTCCTCATCATGGACGTTGTCACGGCCATCTTTAAATTGTCGTACCCACTTACGCACTTTGCTTTCACTCAAAACAGTATCACTGTACACTTCACAAATCAGTCGATGAATTTCTGCAGCAGGCAGGTTCCTTGCTGACAAAAACCGTATCACTGAGCGAACCTCACATGTGGAGGGTGAGTTAATAGTCTTAAACATTTTTAAAGCACAGAACAGAACCGTACAGGTGAGCTACAGAGCGGAAACTGAGCACAGTTGTTCCCGAGGCATGCCGGTACACGACGCACACGCTCGTTGCGGTATGCGCGCAAACTACTACTGTCTACAACAAAACGGACCTTACTTAAAAAATACCCCTCGTAAATAAAGTTTTGTTGTTGTTGTTGTATTCTAAGGGGAAATCTGCCTCTGACGAAGTCTCCAATCCTTGTTTCAGCTCCTGTATCCCGAGTGGAACCCCTCTGCCAGGGAGCAGCTGGAGATCTCTCGGGAGAGCCCTGTGGTCTCCTACACTGTGGCCACCCATCAGAGAGGCCCACGGGCCACAGTGAGGGCAGCAGCATGCCAGCTGGAAGAGGAGGAGGAGGACTTTTGGGGGTTCCAACTACAGTCTGAGGAATGATGGGCCCTTGCCACATGGAGGACGGAGAGGGAAAGGTGCACTTGCTCCACGCATGAAGGTGCACAAAGAAGAGAGTCCAGGTGGGCCACGTCAGGTGGGCCGAAGCAGGTGTGCCTCTCCCACTTCCTCCTGTTTGAGTCCTTTCCATTGCGACGACTCCTATTGCTTTCTAGTTGGTGTTATTTTTTGCAACAAACATTATGGAGCATGTGTGCTCTCTCTCTCGCGCACACACACAGACTGCCTTTCTCCCCCTTTGTGTTGGCAATGAGCCCTTGACTGTGGGATGCATAAAACGAAATAGGAAGGGAGGGAAGCCATTGCCAGGGGAAACTTCAGGAGGGTTTCCATAGTAATAAGGTACCAGCAGAAGCAGAGAGGGGCACGGCTGCCTGGCGTGGGCTTCTTTGGCATTATTCCCCCTCCTTTCCCAACGTGGGCATTGCTTTGGCAAAGGAGGAAGGTCCCCACGGCCCTGGCATCTTTTGAAAAGGATCGGCAACTCTCTAGAAACCAAACAGTCTCCCAGTTCCAGAGAATTAATATACAGCCCACTTCGATAAGTGGGAGCCAGCAAGCAGAATTGCAATACGGTCTCCTTTCTTTCACATTTTATCTTTTTAAATTATTATTACCCCTTTTTAGATCTCTAAGAAATTATACAAAATTCCCCTACAAACAACAACCAGCTTCCCCCCCCTCCATGTCGGTTGCATTTGTGTATCTAAGACCTCCAAGCTTTTGTCTTTAAAAAAAAAGAGGAAAAAAAAAACAACACAAAAAGAGAAAAAATAACTAAATAATTTTTGTCTATTTCAGAAAATAAATACTGTTATTGAAATAGTAGTAAATAGTAGTAACTATTTCAAAATTCACAAAATTAACTTTTTCCTCCATTGTCGGTTGCATTTCTGTATCTAAGACCTCCAAGCTTTTGTCTAAAAAAAAAAAAAAAACGGGGGGAAAAACACAAAAAACCGAGAAAAAAATAACAAAATATTTTTGTCTATTTCAGAAAATAAATACTGTTATTTTTAATATTAAGATAAAAACTTGCTATTAGTATCTTTAACAAACAAACAAACACTGTGGAACATTATTAAATCCTATTGAAATAGTAGTAACTATTTCAAAATTCACAAAAAATTTTTTTCCTCCATTGTCGGTTGCATTTGTGTATCTAAGACCTCCAAGCTTTTGTCTTTAAAAAAAAGAGAAAAAAAACAACACAAAAAGAGAAAAAATAACTAAACAATTTTTTGTCTATTTAAGAAAATAATTACTGTTATTTTTAATATTAAGATAAAAACTTGCTATTAGTAGCTTTAACAAAAAAAAAGCAACACTGTGCAACATTATTAAATCCTATTGAAATAGTAGTAAATAGTAGTAGTAAATAGTAGTAACTATTTCAAAATTCACAAAATTAATTTTTTCCTCCATTGTTGGTTTCATTTGTGTATCTAAGACCTCCAAGCTTTTGTCTAAAAAAGGGGGGGGGGGACACAAAAAAATGAGAAAAAAATAACAAAATAATTTTTGTCTATTTCAGAAAATAAATACTGTTATTTTTAATATTAAGATAAAAACTTGCTATTAGTAGCTTTAACAAAAAAAAACACACTGTGGAACATTATTAAATCCTATTGAAATAGTAGTAACTATTTCAAAATTCACAAAATTAATTTTTTTCCTCCATTGTCGGTTGCATTTGTGTATCTAAGACCTCCAAGCTTTTGTCTTTAAAAAAAAGAGAAAAAAAACAACACAAAAAGAGAAAAAATAACTAAACAATTTTTTGTCTATTTAATAAAATAAATAGTTATTTTTAATATTAAGATAAAAACGTGCTATTAGTAGCTTTAACCAAAAAAAAAAAAAAAACCCCCCACTGTGGAACATTATTAAATCCTATTGAAATTGTAGCAACTATTTTTTTAAATTCCAGGGTGTGTGTATTTTGCTTTTATTATTATAATTATTATGATTATTTTTTTTTAAAAAAGGGCCTTTTATCAAGAACCACTGAACTTGTAGAATGCAATGAATACTGTTGGGAGCTGCAGTAGCACTTCACATAAGTCCCAACCCTATTTTAAACCACATGTCTGCACCCCCCCCCCCCACTCAATTCTGACCACTTTGAAGAAAGGTTTTCAATGTTAGTTATTGGAGGCGGCTGCAGCTGCAGGAGCTGGTGGTCCCGTTTCAGAGGCTCCCAGGCCAAGCAGAAGAGCTTTGAACATACTGAACTGCCATGTTTAGCTGCAGCAGCTTTTTATCACATAAAGGGAGAATATATATGAAAACATAGCTTGTGTTGACATAGTTTGCATTCAAATGATGTTAATGCTCAACAATGGAGTTCGGAGGTAGAAAGCCGGGTTCTTTGCTCTGTTAGCGTTTCAGCTGTTTTATTAAACACAAGGTGCAACCGTTCTTGCAGAAATCTGGTTGTTTTATTACTTTAATGTTGAGATACTCCGCTGAGTCTCCCCAAAAACTCTAGGGCAGGCATGAGCCAACTTTGGCCCTCCCCCCCCCAGGTGTGTTGGACTTCAACTCCCACAATTCCTCACAGCCTGAGGCCCTTTCCTTTCCCCTTCAGTCGCTTTCTGTGTTCTCAAATAATGGAGACTTGTCTACCCTATGGAGACTTGTCCACAGCTGCATGGTATCCGATAGACTCCCGCAATGTATTGTCGAAGGCTTTCATGGCTGGAATCACTAGGTTCTTGTGGTTCTGCCGTGCCTTTCATGTTCCTTGATTTGTGTTTGGGCAAAGCTGCATTTGGTGGTCCCTCTGGAGACTTCTTGTCCACAGCTACATGGTATATGTGGTATATGGCTGTGAGTCGCCTTCGGGCTGAGAACAGTGGTATATAAGTAAGATAAATAAATAAATAAATAAATATGGTAGACTCCTGCAGAAGTGGGAGGATCCCTCTTGTCCTTTGCTGAACGTAGCATTTGTAGGATTTTCTACATTCAGCAAAGGACAAGAGGGATCCTCTCACCTCTGCAGGAGTCTACTGGATACCATGCAGCTGTGGACAAGAAGTCTCCAGAGGGACCCCCAAACGCAGCTTTGCCCAAACACAAATCAAGGAACATGAAAGGCACTGCAGAACCACAAGAACCTAGTGATTCCAGCCATGAAAGCCTTCGACAATACATTGCGGGAGTCTATCGGATACCATATATGTCAAAATTGGCATTGAATGTTTGCCATATATGTGTACCCTGAGTCCCCTGCGGGGTGAGGAGAAGGGCGGAATAGAAAAGCTGCAAATAAATAAATACATAAATCTGTCAAGGGTGCTTTGAATGCAACATTCCTGCTTCTTGGCAAAATGGGGTTGGACTAGATGGCCCAAGAAGTCTCCTCCAACTCTTTGATTCTTTGATTCTATGACCCCTGGACTGGATCTTTTGACTACGGTGTTATCTTGAACCTGCAACAGTGTTTGCTGTCAGTTTTTGTTTTACATTCTGTGCCCGAGTGCTACCTTTATGTTTTGGAGTATTAAAACAGCCAGGCAGTAAGTGCTGCTTTAATTAAATTATTTAACACAAAGTGGGAGTTTGTTTGGTTCACCTCTGCCTGAATAAGGGCAGAGCCCTGGCATGGTGACACCTTCAGGGCTGAGGTAGAATGGGGTAAATAAGTAAATAAATAAATTACCAGGCCAAAAAAAGGGTTCAGGGAGGGAGTGTGGCTCCAGAAATAGCTGGTGACACCTAGTCCAAAGAGCAAGGGCAGAAGAGAGGCTAGGCCTGGGAGGGGAGGCGCCTTTCTGAAGGCGCAGGTTCGCAGTTTGGGAGTGATCCTGGACTCATCGCTGAGCCTGGAGCCACAGGTTTCAGCGGCGGTCAGGGGAGCTTTTGCACAATTAAAACTTGTGCGCCAGCTGCGCCCGTACCTTGGGAAGTCTGACTTGGCCACGGTGGTCCACGCTTTGGTTGCATCCTGCTTAGATTACTGCAACGCTCTCTACGTGGGGTTGCCTCTGAAGACTGCCCGGAAGCTCCAACTAGTCCAACATGCGGCAGCCAGAATGCTAACACGAGCAGGATACAGGGAGCATACTACTCCTCTGTTACACCAGCTCCACTGGCTGCCAATTAGCTTCCAAGCACAATTCAAAGTGCTGGTGTTAACCTATAAAGCCCTAAACAACTCCGGCCCTGTTTACCTGTCCGAACGTATTCTCCCGTATGAGCCATCAAGATTATTAAGATCATCTGGAGAGGCCCTGCTCTCGGTCCTGCCGGCCTCTCAGGCGCGCCTGGTGGGGACGAGGGACAGGGCCTTCTTGGTGGTGGCCCCTCGACTCTGGAACTCTCTCCCACTGGAGATCAGAACTGACCCCTCGATTCTGTCGTTCAGAAAACGGGTGAAAACCTGGCTATGGGGTTTGGCTTTCGACAAGTGAATCAAAATTTCTGTGAACGGATAGATGACGATGAATGATGGACAACGAATTCACTATGACGACTGACCATTGTTATTATGTGATTGCATTTTGCTGTTATAACGTTTTGTTATATGATGTTTTTAATGATTGTTTTGTGTATTGTCGAAGGCTTTCATGGCTGGAATCAGTAAGTTCTTGTGGGTTTTTTCGGGCTATAGAGCCATGTTCTAGAGGCATTCTCCTGACGTTTCGCCTGCATCTATGGCAAGCATCCTCAGAGGTAGTGAGGTCTGTTGGAATTAGGACAATGGGTTTATATATCTGTGGAATGGCTGGGGTGGGGGCAAGGAGCTCTTCCCTGCTGCAGTTAGGTGTGAATGTTTAGCTGATCACCTTCATTAGCATTTGAAGGCCTGCCTGAGCCTGGGAAAATCTCTTGCTGGGAGGTGTTAATCTGTGCCTGGTTGTTTCCTCTCTGTTGTTTTGCTGTTGTAATTTTAGGGTTTTTTAATACTGGTAGCCAGATTTTGTTCATTTTCATGGTCTCTTCCTTTCTGTTGAAATTGTCCACATGCTTCTTGTGATTTCAATGGCTTCTCTGTGTAGTCTGACATGGTGGTTGTTGGTGTGGTCCAGCATTTCTGTGTTCTCAAA